ACTATATTATATATTAATATATATATATATATATATATAACACACGCACATATATATATATATATATATATATATATATAAGTAAGTATTGTTATAAATGTATTTCCCTATTAACGTCAGCACTACGCGAGCTGCAACAATCAGACTACATACCGTTAGCGGCAGTGAGTTTTATTAGTGTGTCGCCACTCATGGTCTCTTTGAGCCCCACAGCAATTGCAATCTCGCCTGCAGTCACCGAACTGACATCTGTATACTTATTGGCATGTACCTGTTGTTTTGAAAAATCATGTAGCATGAGCATTCAATATTGAGATATTATATTTCCCATGGACCTGTTCTTTCGCGGAATTATGTCGCGTCATATGTTCTGTTGGTCCTGGTAAATTTACAAAAGCATGCCGCATGGGTGTTTAATATTGAATCGAATATGGTTTCCATGGGAGAAATAACCAACTGAGTTCCATTCTTCAGTAAGGTCCAAGGGCAGGCGACGGTTCATACAAAACTTAGAAAAGCCCCCATCTTGTATGCTCGCATTGACATCAGTATGACATCATATATTGTAACCTGTCATCATTGCACAAAGCAAATCATCCACTGACGCATGTCTGATTGCACCTTCGCCAGTGAGGGTCAAGGTAAGGCAACGAATACTGTTAAACACTAGCACCCTCCATCATGTATGTTCGCTCTGATAATAGTACAAAACACCATATACTTTAGCCTGTTGGTATTACACAAGACAAGCCATCACTCAAGCGTGTCTAGTCGTACCTTCATCAGGCGCTTCACTTGCTCCTTGCACTTTCGGCTAGTGTTGTCTACCGCTTCCTTCGCGTTCATGGTGCCCGCATACACGCGGAAAAACACCATAGGACCTGTGACAGATAAAATTAGTAGGAGTGCTTGAACATATGCTGCAAGTGATCATATCTGTAAGCTAGTATACAAACATGAATATACTTCAGTGTATAGGTATCGACTCTTTTGAACAACGGTTTCTATATAGTTATAATTGCCCGCGCACGGACAAGCCGCTGGGTATAGGTACTTCTGTACATGTATGTGTATAGGGGTAATACGATATGATACTAAAAACATGATTCATGAATATATAGACAATACGGGCCGAACATATGTGAATGTAAATCAAGCTTGATTCCCAGTATAGGTAGATCGGTATGCACCTATGTTGCGTGTGGAAAAGAAAACATACGACTATATTCTAAATATATACTACTGAAAAATACAACTAAAATTCAATATTTTCAGTATCACTCGAAATTCACCACATATATGTGACTCTTTTACTTACCTAACCGATGATCGTGAATGACCTTGAAGGCCAGGGCGCATAGATTGGCGTCAGGATCGGACTTGACTATGATGCTGTTATATGAAGTATAGATATAGATTTGATTATGATGCTGCTATATAGAGTATGGATATACACTTGGTTGTGATGCTGTTATACGAAGTATAGATACCGACTTGATTACGATACTGATATATTAAGTATAGGTATAGATTTGAACATGATACTGTTTCATGAAGTATGGCTATAGATTTTTTTATGATACATATTGTTATATTGAGCATAATTATAGATTTCATTGTGATGATAAAAAAAGCATAGTTACAGACTTGATTTTGAAAAAGTTATAATACGTCTAGTTTTATACCTGATTGTGATGTTGATATATAAAGTATAGATGCAAACTATTAAGTATAATTATAGACTTGATTGTGATACTGTTATAGAAAGTATAGCTATAGACTTGATTGTAATGCTGATATATAAAGTATAGATACCGAGTTGACTATGATGTTGATAAATAAAGTATGGGTACACATATATTAGATGGACTATGATGCTGCAATATAAACTTAAGACCTTAAACCCTAAAACATAGATCCGGATTGCGTACAGACGTGTATGCTTGTGAGCGTACAGATATATATATATATATATATTTATATAATAAAAATTAATATAATATAATACAATACAATGTATATATATAGGCATATATATGTGTGTATGTATATATATATATATATATGTGTATATAATTATTTATATATATATAAATATATATATATATATATATATACATATATATATTCAGAGGACTCGGTGGCGCAATGCTGTCGGCCTATTCTCAAACTTTAA